ATATGCATATGCGCATATATGTGTGCATACACATTTATATAATGAAGAGTCATGCAGGTGGATGCCACATCTTTACTAAGCTCCCATCACTGCAACACCCTAGATGCAGGATCTGAGGCCCTACCTTTTGGGGAATGTTTTGGTTCCTTTTTTTTACAAAGTCCACGTCTTCCCTGAACAAAAGCAGATAGACTTTTCAGAAGGAGCACCATCCTGCATGGAGACAAACATTATAAAGCTCTCAGTTCTCTCAGGGCCAGCTATATTCCCAAGTTATATCCATCCCCATAAAGATCTTTTCTCCCCACTGCCCCAGGCCCATGGGGAGAGCACGGCCAGGATGCTTAAGCCACAGGAGTTTGAGAGGACTGGATTCATAGATCTGGAGTTACAACTCATTGATATCTTTGAATTATAGAGCAGTATTCAATTGTTTGTTGAAGAAATTATACTTCGATGTCAAGGATTTAGGGTAGACATGAGAAGGCTTTTTCCATCAACAAAAACTTTTGAAAATCAAAGGGTTATATATGGAGCAACCTCGATGTTCTTTGCAAAGTATGACACAGCAGAGTCCCTCCTAACTGGCATCTGGGCTAAATCCCCAGTCACATCCTTCTCAAATCCATAGACCAGCTACATCCTTTAGGACCTGAACAGTCACATTCCTCAAGCAGCTTGAAGCAAACCTCAACAGTAAAAGCAGAAACCTAGATTTCTTTTTGCCTGCTGAATAAACTCAACATTACTTCTCCAACCTCAGAGGCATAAGTAATACTTGTTGACCAAAAAAAAAAAAAAATGTTGTGTACATGACACATATCAGAGCCCTAGATTTGCCATTCAGGGTTTCTATCCCCTGGCTTCAGACACCACCTTCCAGTGTGGATGGCAGAGCAGGTACACAGCAGAAAAGGAATGGTCTGCCTTTAAAGCTTCATAGCACCCACAGAGACCAGAGGAAAGATTTTTCTGGAAGTCGCTAAAACAAATTTTGCAGCTTAGAGCAAACAAGTCTATGGTTAAATTCAGTGAACTGGAGACAGGGAGATACTGACTTTAAGACAACTCCTGCAAGCTAATCATAAGATACTTCTAGAAACACCAGTGTTGCTGGGGAAAAGCTGAGAAATAGCAAGGCTGTATCTTAAGACGCATGTGTATTCACATACCGTTAGCTGTGAGGCATTTACAAATCTCCTCAATAATCCCTATCTCCAAGACACCTGCCTGGTTCCTTCCTGCTCCTCTAGGACTCTAAGGTGAGATCTGTCAAAGGATGCAGTAAGAGTGGCCCCACCTTCTTGCTGCAGTAGGTCCCAACCCATCAAAGCGCAGAGGGAAGGGTCACCTGGAAATTGAGATATGGAGCTTAAATATCCCCCAACCCCTACAAACAACTTCCTTGTTCACTTCACTGTATTTTCCTCAGTGTGTAGAAACAAGCCTTGGAGCAACAGAAACTGATTATCTACCCAAAGGAAGAGGCCAGAGACTATGAGGCAAAGTCTTGGTTCATTTGTCAGCTGCTTTATGCACAGGTCAACAATCCCTTATCTGAAACCTTTGTGGACAGATGAGTTGTGGAATTCAGATTTTTTTTTTAAGAGCTAATATATTTACATCCCCAGAAGAGTCTGAGGAAACATCCTATAGACTCATTAATTTTTTTTGCACAAAACATGAATATTCATATTAATCTCCTATCAAGTCAATCAAATTAGTTAAGAGATAAAATCCAGAGTTCTCAATGATGGGAGGTTGGGCACCATCTGATTTACTTTTCTCTACTAGATCTCTAAATTCAATCATTCAGGGACAAAGACTCACAGCAGGGAATAGATAAATGGGTAACTGCCAAAATCCCAGGAAACATCCCCTGACTCAGGAGGCCCCTGGGACAGAACAGCTGAGATCCAAACAGGTACATTTGGAGAATTCCTGATACAGAAAATGCCTTCTAAGCTGAACTTCCTTGGCCTCAGAGCCCAGAAGAGAAATGATTCCACAGAACCCTTCACATTTGGAGAATCAGAGTCCCCTGGACTGCAGCACCTGAGTCCAAGGAAGACACAGTCTATCTAATCATAGACCATAGTAGAAGCCACATGTCAGCAGCAGACCAGAATTTTAAGAGCCCTGATCCCACATGATTGATGCTAACTCTACAGGGTGCCAAGCAAGTCATGCTTTGATCTTTCTGCCTTCGAGGAGCTGGTAGAACACGTTATAACTACTGTCCCTCTCTCTGTCCCCTTCAATGCCAGCATTCTCTGGGTTCTGCCTCCCACCTTGTTCTCACTCTGTACAGCTTGCTGGCTGATTGTAGTCACTCCCCCGGTCTCATCTACACCCTTTATGCCCTTGACCCCCATCCTCAATCACTGGTCCCACCCTTGTCCCCAACTCCAATTCATATTTCTTTTTTGAGTTGGAGTCTCACTCTGTGGCCCAGACCGAAGTGCAGTGGCACACTTATCACCACCACAGCCTCAACCTGCTGGGCTCAGGCGATCCTTCCACCTCAGTCTTCCAAGTAACTAGAACTACAGGCGCCATCACCATGCCCAGCTAATGTTTGACTTTATTGTAGAGACAAGGTCTCACCATGTTGCCCAGGATGGTCTCAAACCCGTGGGCTCTGGCATTCCTCTTGCCTTGGCCTTTCAAAGTGCTGGGATTACAGGCATGAGCCACGCCAACTCATATTTCAACTGCCTCATGGGTACCTCCAGCTAGCTGCCCACATGCCTCTCCTGCTGTGCCATAAATGACTGACGCACATGGGGATATCTGTGTGCCCTCCTATGTCTCCCTGACATGTAAAAATATCATGTGCCACTTCTGGTGGAGGCATTTAGTACTTGGTGCACTGACCCCCTTTTCTCTTCCCCTCCATGATGCTAGGACAAGACAGTGGAGAAGCAAAATGAACATTCTAGGTCCTAGAGTCACTGCTTAGAAAATACCACTAGATTTGTATTGAACTGTGAGAGAAAGAAGCTTCTATGGTGAAAAATTACTGAGAGTTTAAAGTTTCTGACATAGCAGCCAGAGTTAATTACCAATACACCAGCCTTTTCCAGCTGGCAAATTCCTACTTATTGCTCCAATTCAAATGTCACCTCCTCTGGGAAGTCCACCTTCCATGGAAAGTCAGCTACTCCATCCTGTGACCTCCAGCAATTTGCTCATACATCTGGCACAGCAATTCCCTGAATCTACTACCACATTTGTATTTGTATTTTGGCCCGCGCATTTTTTCATTCCTATTTTTTCAGTGCCTTGCAAGTAGCACACATCCAACACATTTGATTTACTAAAGCAGAAATCAGAGGCTTCTCACTGTGTGATAAGAAAACTCCAAGTCAGCACTTTCCCCCAAGTCATAACATTCTCAGCATTGTGCCAGGTTCTGCTATAGTTAGCAGGAAAAGATACTGTCACCCACCTTTATCTTTTAATTCTTTGCGCCCCACTCTCTCCCACCCCTATTAAAGGACAGCTCTCACTCGGAAAGTGCATGTCTTTTCAAGAACTATCAGCCAAAACATCTTACAGAAAACAGGATCAAAGAGGGGATTTTTAGTGACGAGATTAAAGTAGAACAGGACTCTCTCGTGACAACCTTGAGCTTTGCTCACCCAAGCCTGCCACAGTTTAGATCCATGGCTTGGCATTCTGGAATCATGCAGCTGTGTTGGGGTTATTTCTGGTGTGAAAAGAGCTGCAGCAAAAGCATTGCTGGCTCCTCAGGGACCCAGATGTGAAGATGACAGGCCAGGCATGCAGAGTCACATCATCACCACTTGGCAAAGCTTCCCAAATCAAAAGCACAAGACCATGTCACTGGTCAGGGAAACAAAATGTAGGATCTTTTAAAACAGTGAGTTGGCTAAGGTAATATGTACTGTGAGTAGTTTCAAAGCTCTCAATTTCTGTAAAGACATGATATAACTCTTAGTCCTGGCCAAAAGAAAATGTTGACCATAAATAAATGATGATCAGTTATTATTGCAATGTTTTCACAATTCTCATATACTAGTATTTTACCTCCTACAGGTATGGGTTTGCTGTGGATGTTGAAATGACTCCACTTAATGTATCTTAAATTTAATGTTGGCTGCTAGTGTCCAGCCAAAAATATTCACAACCAAGAGCTTTGGCAAACACAGATGCCATGCCCACAGCTTCAGGAGAGCACAGGCTTCAAGGACATATTTATAGTTGGACATTCAGAGTAGTAAATGGAATAAGGTTAGACTTTGAAGTATACTGGAGGATAGGATCTACAGACAGTAGATGTCCTACTCTGTTTTCTGTTGCTTATAAAAGAGTATCTGAAACTGGGTAATTTATAAAGAAAATAAATTTATTTCTTACAGTTACAGATGCTGAGAAGACCAAGTTCACAAGGTTGCATCTGTTTATGGCCTTCTTGCTGGTGGGGACTCTGCGGAGTCCCAAAGTAGCACAGAAAATCATATGGTCAGGGGGCACAGTTCTAGCTAAGGTCTCGCTTCCTCTTTTTATAAAGCCAGTAACCCATTAACCCACTAATCCACTAATCCATTAATAGATTAATTTGCCCTCATGATCCAATCACCTCTTAAGGCCCTACCACTCAGTACTGCCAATTGGAGATTAAGCTTTAATATGAATTTTGGAGGGGACAGTAAAATCATAAAAGTAGAGAAGATTAAAAAATAGCAAATCATTGGAAGAGTAACTTAGTAGAAGGGAATATAGAGTTTGGGAGGGTTGTGCTAGTACATTTTTAGTCTGAAACAATTATCACATGTGATAGATAAGAGGCATTTCAAAAATAGTAGACACTTAAAGTCATAGCTAAACACAGGAAGTTGTTACTGGCTGGTATTTTTTAAGGTCATATATCATGAATATAGCAATGAATGACTTCACCAAATCCTATCCATGATACCAACTGCATAGGTGGAAAACAAGGAATTGACTAAAAACTGCACTGTCAGGCAACTTACCTTGTATGAAGATTCTATTCCAGTAGGTTTTCCCAACTTGATTGCCTCCAAGAAACACCAGGTTGGACAGGATCAGGATCGAGGTCGAACAGGATGAAAGCACAGCGTGGAATCGACGCTGAGCTCCTGGGGAGAGGTATTGGGCCTACAGAGAAAACAGCCAGACAGCATCTCATCACAAGGGTGGAAGAAATAGTGCTAAGGCGTCACCCAGCTTTCTCCGTCACCAGCCCAAGATGCCTCCCTCCCAGAGTCTGAGCCAGGTAATAATTTAAACAGCTCTCAAAACTTCTATTTCTGCAATACGTTCATTCTGTTCTAGGGAAAGAAGTGATGTCCCTCAAGTTGCTTCTTCCTTCTGCCAAAACAGGCTTTCCTGTGACACGTGTAATACAAGGACTGAACCTAGTTAGGATTTAGCAGCCCTCTCGTCCCCCAGCTGCAATGTTTCGATTTGTCTTCTGTATGTAAATCTATAGGAACATGAATTTTAAACTGCTCTCCATGGTAACTAGTAGATCTAGCTCCATGGAATGAGATCACGATCAGAGTGATCTTTTGGACCAGTTAACATGACCCTGGGAAGCCAGTCAACCACCCTATAAACCTGACACAGTATAAAGAGGAATCTCATAACAAGGGTGCAGGGCAACCAGTTGGAGCCAAGCCTACTGCTGGAATCAGAGCTCAGGGTACACACTCCACTCAAAGCACACAGCGGCATCCTAGAAGGAAGTGTACCAGAGGGCCTGAAATACTCGAGGCTGTAGAGATGTTTTCCAGCAATCATGATAAAGAATTCCACTCGTCATTCCTAGCTCTTCATTATACTTTTTCTTCCCCTTTTAACATTTCCTCAGGGACATAAAGCAAACAAAGCCTTTATTCCTCAGCACGGACTGTTCTGGGGGCCCCTCCCGAGTGAAGTCATCGTGCTGTGTCTGGAGTGTGTGAGCCTCGTCAGCACATCCACAGGGACCGTCCTTCCGGCCTATGTGTTCAGAATGAGAACCAGGTACAGCACAACAGTGACACAAAGGGTGGGGACCTCTGATAAATACCCCAATCTTAACCAAAGACACAGAAAGAAGAGGGAACAAAAGAGGTCTAGAGATATTTCCTGAATGTCTTCCAAAAACCTACACACCTCCGGGGTTACATGCATGGTAATTTCAGCTGTGCTCCAATTACAAAGAGAAATCTGAATGACCCAATGGCAGTGGCAACACGATGTGACAGGCAAAAAGAACTAAACTACAGGGTGAGTCTCTAGCAGGAGACTTACTTATTTCTGATGACCCTGCTATGGATTCCTTGTGGCCACTCTGGAAGCCGTGGTCAGTACCTCCGCAACCCAGAGAAATGAATTCCTGACCCCTCTTTCTCTCTCCTGCCGGATCCAGGGTCTGTTGGCATGTGCAAATCTAGCTGCTACCATATATCTCCCCATCCACAGTTCTCTCCAACATCACTTTGGAGCACACTTTTACTGCCACAGATGTGAGTGTGGTCTGCTTGCAGATAAGCTATGAACTGGACACTCACTGAGATGTCTGCCTGGACATGATTGTTCTGGAAAGCTCTCCAGTGACACGGGCATGTCCCTGCTTAGAGGCCACTAGGCAAGATGACCGCTAGTTTCTCCCTCTCAGAGGTCATGGGTACATATAGGAGGATGCTGTCAGACAAGATCAGACATAGATAACTACATGGTGGAACAACTGGTAATGAGAGAGAAATGGTGACAGAGCAGGCTTGTTATTTAGCACTCTTTCCCTCTGAGAATAAGGGGACATTAATCTTCCACTTTCTGAATTTTAAAGCAGAGGAAGATCTTTTCTGGGTATTACTGACTCAATTAACAGTAACTGCGGAGACAGGGTGAGAGGAAGCCAGGACCTAGGGGGTGGGGGATTAGGGAATTCAGAATAATACACCAAGAAAATATGAATTGCCTTAATAGGCATAAATGTGTCCAAGTAATTCTCTCCAGGTACCATGGCTACTAATAACCCATTTGGCTCCTAAGGGATCTGGTAAGTCTGATATTTTGAAACTTCTGTTCTAACCCCCATCAGTCTTCCTCAACCTTATATCCTGTTAGGGGAACATGAAGACCCCCTGTGATCTTTCCTTTATTAATGTCAACTACTGAGAGTACACATAACTTGGTTAAGCTAAAAGTGGCTCTCCTGTCATGGGAAATTAGTACAATTATTAAACAATCAATAGAGAGATACTAATAGAGGAAGACTCTCCATGGGGTTGCAAAGCAGGGCTGTGGGGCTGTTACCTGGGCCAGGAGACAGCAGAAGGCAGGGTTGAGAAGCAAAGGACAGAGCAAGGGAGGGAAGTGGGGAGGGCTATCCCTGGAGGCACAGGGCTCCTCCTGTCAGCCCCCAAGAACCTGGTTCCTGCAGATCTTCCTTTGATTCTATGATTACCCCAGTATCTCTTTCAGCTACATGACTCAATAAAATCCCATTCTACTTAGAAAAAAAAAGTCAAAATAATACCAACTGATTTCAGAAGTATGAACGAGGACATCTAAAATGTGAAATGCCTGTCTACTATTCAATCCTTAGAATAGTTAAAAAAAACAACAAAAAAAAAACAGGAATGGTAAAGGCACAAGCTATGAGAAGCAATAAACCAAAGATATTTGAGAAACTGAGATGCCCATAGGCAATTCTTGATTATTCCCCAGGGTGAGTGGGTGGGAGACAAAACAGACAACAATCAAAAAATCCAACAACCTCATGCTAACTATTAGCTGCATCCTCTGACAAAATTAGCCATGTCAATCAGCAGCAAAATGAACAGAGCATTGCTTCTTTTCACTGTGAATCAATAGGCAAACAGGATGATGGGCCACAAGGAAAGAAAAAGAGGATCTGTCTAGATAACCCACAAGAGGGTAATAATTAAGAGCAAAGGGGATGTGAGTCTCAGCTGCAGTCATCTTTGGATTCTCTGGAAGGTGACAGTTTTGAAATCAGGGAGCTTTCTTTCTACCTTGAGAACCACCTAGCCTCAGCCATTAGCCTGTAGGAACTCTAGAAATAAGTACCACATTTAGCGGACCCAGGAACAAAGTCACATGTTCCACAGGCTGGAGGGTATATTCCCTTAGGTTTACCAGCTCTATCAATAAATCTGATGTTTGAGATTTCTGGGGCTGTAGGGCCAAAGTCCCCGCTTTAAATGCTTTTTCTTTCACATTAACTCCTCTACAGTCCTATAGCAATTACACATCCAGGATGTGGCCCTTCACATCTAGGATGCAGGCTGCCCACAAGCAGGAGCCACGCCTTAGGTTAGTCACCCATCCTCGTGGCTTAGGTACTTGAAAATCCTCTTGGCAAGATAACTCATTCTGAGGAATTGTAAACGAAATGGGAAAATATCAGAGTGCAATGAAAAGTCATCAGGTACGGAAATGAGAATTGCCAACTTGATCAGATAAGGCAATAATGGACCAATAGAATTTGATTTTCATTAACATGAATTTATCAGGACAAGAAAAGAGCTCTGGTCTGGTCCTCATCTCTTCTCAGAGGATAGATGAGTCTGTGGCAATCTGATATCCTGGCAGCAGAAAACTGAGAGTGGACCCGTCCCCTAAGGGATGTTTCTGAAATTTCTGGGCATTTTTGCTTGTCTCAATGATTAAGAGGCAATGTGGCGTTTGGTGGGCAGGGGCCAAGGATAAAAAACTGATTGCAATGTGTGGAACAGAACTGTTTTGCCCAAAAGGTCAATACAGCCCTGCTGAGAAAGGGTAAACTGTTCTCTTCCATGTTCACTACAGAGCAGAGTTCCCATTCAGCCTTTGGGGGCATCAGGAGCAATGCAAAAAATGTGCTCCCTTCCCTCTGGAGCCCAGAGAAGTGCATCCTGGAACAGAGAATGTGTTCCTTCCTAGCACCCCAAGGCTAGGTCCCTCTCCATGCTTACCACCTGGCATCAACTGGGGAATTAGGAAGAGCCTTTTGTACCCCCAGTCACAGACAAACAAGGTGTAGCCACCAGCTCCAAGCCTCCTCGCCCCCAAACCCCTGAAACTCAGAGTAAAGAAGAATGGGAGGTGGGGCAAGCTAGAAAGAATCACTTTGTAGCCAAGCAGAGGTGGCCACTTGTCCCTGTGGTCTCTGATTTATATGACAGAAGGGTGGAAGTTTCTCTCTGTGTGAATGTCAATATAACCCACTCTTCAGATGCAAGGGTATGTATTAGACTTTTGACCTAGACATAGCAAGCCCCTTAGAACACTCAGAGCACAGGCCTGGGGCAGAGCTCCAATTCCTGAGTATATTTTCTCTTAACCAAGAAACAGATGGGATGTAGAAATGTTATAACACCACTTAGTAGTGGCTTTAAACCTCCCTATAAGACACTGACTTCCAAAGGTGAGGAATGTCACCCAAACCAACTAAACTTCTGTCAAACTAGTTTGTATTTCCTGCTGTGAAGTGTCCACAGTTCCCCTGTGTATTCATATTTCCGTGGTAACTCCTCCATCTTTTCCAGTCAACATCCTGTCCCTAGAAATCACAGGATTGGCTCGGTCAAATAAGCCAGGGCTATGGGGATAGATGTGGGAATCTGGGTCAGAGGAAAAGCTGGGAACATATGTGGGAATGGGAGGCAGATGGTGCAGTAGGGCTGGAGGCTGCTGAGCTTGGTGGGCCCCATACTCGTCCACAGAGGGGCTGCATGTGAGGCTAAGACGGGAGGTGGGGACAGGCTGAGCATCTGGGGGAGCAGATGGTCAGAGGAATGGCTGCTGGAGACTGTGACAAAGGCTTGGCAAGTGGGACCTGATGCTGCTTATTTTTAAGTGGGGAGAAGCTAAAAACAGAAACTGGGTGGGTTTGAGCAGCTGGACGCAGTTTTTCCATACAATCACTGAGGTTTTTCATTTTGTAATAAAAATGCTCACCAGAGGGTAAGAGGATGAACAAGGCAGCAGCAAGGGAAGAGGCTGGTGGGGCCAAGAAGAACAAATGAGGAGTGGACACCCCACAGGTCATAAAGAAGAGACCAAAGACAACAAAAGAGACAATTATAACTCTTGAGAAAGAGAAGAATGGCCGGAGTCAAACACTCGAGGGCAGGAGGACTCAGATTCCCAAGTCATTCTAG